TGGGGAGCATTTTAATCTCCTACGTCCACCGGGACTTCGGGCCTAGTCGCTCACCACACCTGTCAGCAGAGTGCGGTATTCGGAGGAGAGAGTGAAAGTCTGCCAGTAGAACCACTTAGCACAATGCTGAGCATGCGTGCCCCTATCCGAGGAGACTAGGTCTTCCATATGTTCCATCTCACCTATCTTCCTTAGCCATAGAGAGATTGAAGGTGGCATAGCTGTTTTTTATGAAAAGCCACAGCACATCATTTAAATTGACTTAAGTCTACACATTTAAATTAGGCTTGCTGGAATGTGAAAGTTTAGTTTTTGAGTTGAAAGAGAATTATGGGATCAGTAAAATACACTCATCCCAATAGTTATAGCCGATATGTGATACTGAAGCTGTCACACATCGGCGCTAGAGAGGCAGAGCCAGTTGCCAATCAGCCAATGTCCTCCTATGACCCCAAAAAAAGGCCATAGTTCTCTTTTAAATTCTCCAAAACATGGTATAATTGGTCTCCACCTAGGAAATACTGGTGTGTGCTGCATACCAAAATGTTACACATTAGTTTATAAGAAAAAAGAAATTCTGCAGACACGCTCCATACCACACAAATACACTTTAAAATGGAAACGTGACAATATAAATTCACATTCAGCCATTTATAATCAGGCCATAAGCTATTTTAGGGTATCATCTTTCCATTTTTCACAGATGATGCAATTGAGTCATTCACTTTAGCCTGAATGCTTTAAATAATTCCTCTAGAGACTTTACCTGGTATTAATCACAGTAGCCTGGCAAAGGAAGAGATCTACAAGAGTAGCTGGGTTGAGATGAAGTTTCATGTTACCTCCATCCATTTATTACACCTAACTATGACAAACTAAATCAGGATACCCACAGCTCACTGCTCAAATGTGACAAGTAGAGATGAATATAATACTGCTCCTAATATCAATGGACAGAACAGTGGTTAGCACGTTAGCCTCATAGTGCTAGAGTCCTAAGCTCAGTTCCCAACAGGTATCCTGTTTGCATATCTTCAAATTCCCTGTGAATACATATTCTGGGTACTTTTTTCCCCTAACAATCTAAAAACATACTGGTTTATGCTGACACTATAATTAACACAAAAAAGATAATTTCATAGAAAACCTTCAAGATTTTTACAAATTGCAAATCAGGTGGAGCTAAAAGTCCAAACTACATGGGCAATTTTCAAGCACTTGAAATGCAGAAACGGACCAGGAATAATTGCAGTGGCCTAGCATTAGTGACTCAGAACTCTTCCCCACTGACTACTGTTGTGGAGATAATGCTTGTTGTTACAATCATTATATACCTAACTCTCAAAGGTGCCCATACACTGCACGATTCTCGTTCGAGAATCGCGGGAAATCCCGCGATCGTACAAGAATAGTGCAATGTATGGAAGACGTGCGACCGTTTCTAATGTACGGTCGCACGAATTTTGTATTTCGAGCATGTTGGAAAACCAGCCGAGAATCGTACGATTTTCGGCTAATTTTTAACATGATCGAGAGATGACTGCCGAACGGGCCGGTGCGCGCACACTGCCCGTTCAGCATTGCAGTCATCGGAAGCACGATCTGCCTGTCCAAGATGGGCAGATCGTACGTTTTTTTTTAAGTACTTTACAACCCTCGCAAGACAAAAGTCTTGCAAGGGTTGTAAAGTGTATGGCTACCTTAAAGGTTGCTATTTTTCATGATGTGTTACTGAAAATATATCATCGTATAGAGCAGATGGTGTTTAAAAGTTATACACTCTGGGTGCAAATATGCCAAGTATGCCCTATTCTTTTATTTATTATTATATCCAATAGGTCTTTAGGTAATTCAGATAATCCTGCAATGTGCTGGATTCCTGCAGGGGAAGAATTTTGGCAGCCATGCATTTGGAAGTGGAGCATCCATTCCAAGTCATTAGTATGTAGCAGGGACCACCACTACCCTTAAAAGGTGCCCACACACCTTGCGATAATCGTACGATAATCGCGGGAAATCCCGCGATCGTACGATTATCGTAAGGTGTGTGGAAGCCGTGCGACCTTTACTACTGTAAGGTCGCACGACTTTTATCTTAGGAACATGTTCGAAAACCCACCGAGCATCGTACGATGTTCGGCGGGTGTGTAGCATGTTCGTAATATAAAAGCCGGACGGGCCGGTGTGCGCAAGCGCACAATGCCCGTTCAGCATTGCGGTCATCGGAAGCCCGCCCCTCAGGGGGGCGCAGCTGCGATCATCGCAAGTACGATCTGCCTGTCCAAGATAGGCAGATCGTACGTTTTTTAAATTACCTTACAACCATCGCAAGACTTAAGGGCAATCCACGTGTTATCGCGTGTGATTGCCTGCGCAGCCACGGATCGCGCAGGTGTGAACCTGGCCTCAATAAGTGCAGAAATTAAAATACGTTTATTTATTTAGCAGTTTGTACACGGTTCAAAAGCAAGCAACTGACTGAAGCCTTCTATTTAGAAATGAGGTATAATCGTACGATAATCGCGGGAAATCCCGCGATCGTACGATTATCGTAAGGTGTGTGGAAGCCGTGCGACCTTTACTACTGTAAGGTCGCACGACTTTTATCTTAGGAACATGTTCGAAAACCCACCGAGCATCGTACGATGTTCGGCGGGTGTGTAGCATGTTCGTAATATAAAAGCCGGACGGGCCGGTGTGCGCAAGCGCACAATGCCCGTTCAGCATTGCGGTCATCGGAAGCCCGCCCCTCAGGGGGGCGCAGCTGCGATCATCGCAAGTACGATCTGCCTGTCCAAGATAGGCAGATCGTACGTTTTTTAAATTACCTTACAACCATCGCAAGACTTAAGGGCAATCCACGTGTTATCGCGTGTGATTGCCTGCGCAGCCACGGATCGCGCAGGTGTGAACCTGGCCTCAATAAGTGCAGAAATTAAAATACGTTTATTTATTTAGCAGTTTGTACACGGTTCAAAAGCAAGCAACTGACTGAAGCCTTCTATTTAGAAATGAGGAAAATCACTTCTTGATAATCAAGAGAAAGTTTATGGGGTTCATGTACCTTCGTATCCTGGCTGGAAGGTTGATGAGCCCCATAAACATCTATAGTGCTACGGTATAATGTACCTGCGGGGCCAGGAAAGAGAAGACTTGCTGCATGGATGTAAAAAAAAATAAAAAATAGACCCTGCGATAGTTGGAACCCCGGGAAGCATACATCTGTAGAAGGGGAGGATGAGGGAAGTTAGCTAAAGGCAAAGAGGCAACAAGGGTAAGTGAATCTTTGTTTTAAAGTGCACTTCATTTAAAAGAGAACTATGGGGTAAGTGTTTTACCCCATAGTTCTCAGGGTCACGGGAGGACATATACAAGCATCCTCCTGTGACCCAAAGCCCAGTATGTCGCGAGCTAAAGCTCGCGATATACTGAGACCACTGCAGCTGGGATGGATCCCGACATTACTGTTGAGATCCACCCAGCTGTGTGAGTGACAGCTGGCTCTGCCTATCTAGAGGCAGACCCAGCTGTACCCGCCCCCTCCCCCGTCCATTCCTCCAGTCAGTGCTGGAGGATCAGAGAGGGGAGGAATCCCTGCAGGGAGCAGTGACTGACAGTCACTGCTCTCTGCAGGGAGATGATCGAGAAGTGAGAGAGCGACGCTATGTGTTCGCTCACTTCCCGATCTATTGAGCCAACGTGTGACAGTTTTATTGTCGGCTCGAACTATGAGGATGAGTGATTTTCACTCACCTCATAGTTCTCCTTTAAGGGAATGATAGTGGGAAAACTCTGTGGTACCCCCCTTTCCTTGGTGCCCTAAACATGTTGTTATTTTGCTTAAAGGTAACCTAGCCTTAAGATAGCTATGTGACTTCCCAAATATATTCTGCCACCGTTTTGCAGTAGAAGCCCATCCCCATCTTTATTCTCTAACAGATCTTTTCCCTTCACTATTATGGCTTGTTCAAATCAAGTTTATTAGATTCTCAAAACACGGAACAAAAACATCCACCATCATACGTACAGCGGACTTAAAAATCATTAACAAATCATCATAGTAAATAGAATACAACTATATCCATACATCTACCTCAAAGGTATACAATTCAATTATCGCCAACATGTACTATTGAGGGACCACTATTATGGCTACGCCTGCCCACCTAATTTCTAATAGCTACAGGGCTGCGGCAGACAGGGGACAGTTACAACCCAAACCCTCTGCCGGTTCTGTTGACCAGCTTTCATTTCCATCTCTATTACTTGTGCTGAATTTACCCAAGGCCTCAGGTTTGGGGTCCTATGTTGTATGGGACTGGCTCCACCAGAGCAATTAAGCTCTACAAATGAGTCTCATTCCCAATGCTGGAAACAAATAGCATTTTGTGTCTTTAATTTATATATTTCAAATCATACAAAAAAAAATACAGAAAACTTGTGACCCTTGTGACTCCGTGCAGCCTCAGATTTTTACAGATCTCCACTTTTATAGGCAGGTGACTGGTCTGTGGCTTCCTTTTCTATATGCCAGTAGAGCTTGCCGTTTGCTCAGCTCCACAGGAGACATGATTTAAGCCAGGAACATTGAGAACGAGTCACAAGATACACAGCACAAGGTGAACACACTTCACCAAAAAAACAACACTTCTTCCAGTTGGGAATAAAAAAAGCGATTAGTTCACCCGAATTGCTCACTTTAGGATGAAATCCCTCATTAGAGTCTTAATTTTTGTTACAGATGCCTTAAAAATGCAGGAAATCTCCAGTTATACATCAACGTCCATCACTTTTACTGTCACTTTGTTCTGAAATTAAACGATAGCTATACTTTTATTTAACAAAAGCTCCCCTCCCCCTTCCCATAATACTTATACTCCCCTTGTACAGTGCTGCATATGTGTGGCTTTCTCTCCTCAATAGAAAAGCTTTCTACTTCAAACTGCACATGTCCAGGAACCCCGTAGCCCCGCTGATTCAGAAAAGGACAGAAGTAATGCCAGCCCAGCTTAAGTCCTGGTTCCTGCACCTGATCACTCACTGATATGAGGTACCAGGGGATATACTGTGGGTAGCATGGGGAGGGGGAGGGTGGCTGCTAGGCTTAGGCTAGTAAAACGTATAGCTATCCTTAAAGGAAATCTCTGAAATAAAAATATGTAGGTTGCAACCTGCTGCCTTCTCCTTGTGAGAGTTGTATGGCTCTCTTGCTAGATTTCAACACTTTAAGTCTCGGATTTCAAACAATTAAGCCGCAAGTGACCTGCATGCTTTTTCTGGGTCAGGGACAATACATTGAAGCAATTTGATCATAACACCCAGGCAATGTACATTTTCAAAACAATATGTCAGCAGAGGCAGCCTACATATTTCCCTCAGCACAAGCTTCCTGTACAGAAATAGTGGGGCTCAGACACGATTTCGGAACACCCCATTGACTGCATATTTGTACAATGAGAAAAAGACCATACTGCAGCTCAAAGCACAGCAGGACATTTCAGGCTTGTGCCTATCCTCAATCCTCAAAGTAGTATTAAACTCTCAAACTTCTTTTCAATAATAAATCCAGATCAAGCATATATACATTGCACAGCAAAGTATTTCTTTACATTTTGCCCTATCACTTACAGTTACCTGGTTTCCAAACAGCTCCAACTCTCTCAGCTCGGCTTCCCTAAACTTCTAACAGAAGATCACAGTGGACAGTGGAGTCTCCAGCAGCTGTTCATCTACAAGCTTGGAGGAGAGAGGAAGGGGCAGGGGAGTGTCTTGCTTTGCTGTATGTTGGTGGAGACACACACAGCTTACTATCACACACAAGGGTGGCTCCATAGGACCCGGCAAGGGAAAGGAGCGCCCCCCACCCCAAAAAAAAAAAATGGTATAAAACAGAACCAGCTGATTCTGCATTAAGCTAAAACCAGCAACCATTATAAGTGATTTCATCAGCATTTGAAATAGTTTAAAAACCTTTTAACTATAATATCACAACAATAACATTGCAGTATGATACCACTCTCTGCACTTGCAGATATACATTAAAAAGATATATGCCCAAAGACTAATTGAGCTCCCAGACTCTTAATTGCAGAGATTTAACCCACCAGCATCCAACTGCCCATGGGTATACATTTTTTAATGGTAACATACACAACGACTTGTAGATTACCTTGGAAGCTGCGGGAACAAACTACATCCAGACCACTATAATAAAAACATTGACAAAAAAATAAACACGGTGGCCTTTCATAACACCACAAGCTCGCTGACAAAACCGTTTGCCAATGTGTGATTGCTTATTAAAGCCATTATGTGCTACTGTAAAACTTGTATTCCATTTTCTTGGCTCAAAAATAAACACATTTCATAGGCCCTTGGTGATCGCAATCAACTGCTGACATTTCTAAAAAAAATCCAACAGGGTACGGCGAAGATTACTGTCATCACTCTGCACATAATATTATGTGACACACCAAGTTCCTGTGAATGCTGCATGGCCTGCAGTTTTCTTGTCATTGTCTCCTCGGGCAGATCTGGCTATTGGTAAACTGAAGGGACAAGCATGAGATTGGCTGGAAGAACATAGGAGTGACAGTCACACAGGACAACCAAAAGCACAGACATTGCTACTTATTATTCTAGCACAACAGAATCCAAATCATAGCAGCCCTAATATATATATATATATATATATACATACATACATATACACACATACATACACACACAGCCATATACACACATACATACACACACAGCCATATACATATACACACACACACACACAGACTTCACCTTATATGTTATATAATGGAATATGGCGTTTTATAGAACAAGACAGAAGAAATTTGAATAGCGAACAGCCATGAACCAGTAAAAAAAAAAAAGGTTTTCAGCACCAGAGACGAAAGACTAGTTAACACTTATTGCAGGTTACTATGGGGGGAATTGATCTAAATTGAACAAAATATGGAGCAGTTGCCCATGGCAACCAATTAGCTTCTCTCTTCAGTTTGTTCAGTTAAGACTTAAAAATGAAAGGGAGAAGCCGACTGGTTGCCATGCACGTCTGCTCCAGATTTTGTCTGCTCCAGTTTTGATAAATGTCCCTGCACATTGATGGTCTGCAGGTGTAAAATATGTCTACAGGTGTGAGGACTTTGCTCTTTCTAGCCAAAACCAATACATTTCTTTATCATTGGAATTTTAGATGCTTGGGTTTATTCTGTTAAATAAAAAAAAAAGTTTAAGAAGCTACAGGGAAAGTGCAGTACTTCTAGCAGCCAATCAGCATCCATCTTGAACTTGTCTGACTGTAATAAAATGAAATTGGATAGGATGCTATGGGTTACTGCACATTCATCTCTGCATTATATATCTTGTAAATCCTCCCAGAATGACACAGAGGAGTTTATTAAAACTGGAGCAGACAAAATCTGGAGCAGCTTTGCATGTCAAACAATCAGCTTCTCTCATTTTCAAATCTTAACTGAACAAAGATGCTAAGTGGTTGCCATGGGCAACTGCTCCAGATTTTCTTTGCTGCAGTTTTGATAAATTCCCACCATAGGGTCATATGGAGCCAATTCTTTCATTCTGCTTCAGCATACTGTATCCGTTAAAGTGCATCTAAAACTAAAAAACATCTGATATTTTGAAGTTAACAGTCTTAAGATGTGCTGGCTGCATTATTTTGCCACCCGTTGATCCTGCCAGGATTAGAATTCCAATGCTCACTCAGTAGACTGTTTCTATGGAGGAGCAGCCTTCGTCAGGCAGCGAGTTGAGACTACATAACACCTCCCCCTCCTCATCTCCATAACACAGATGGTAGGTCTTCCTTATTTCACAGAGGTAAACTGAGCAGAGCAGGGGTCAAGAGTCAGCTCAGTCAGTCTCCTCCCTGTGCTTAAAAAAAAGTCACATCTAGAATCCCCCTTCCAGACTGCATTTGTTTTTCATATTTTCACCTGGTGATCCTGCCAGTATAACAATTCCTGTCTTGAGCCCTGTTCACACTTTCCTGATGCGTTCATGTGCGTTCATTTATGCCGCCATTGCCGTGCGGCAGCCCATCCATTTTATTGGGCAACTGCACATGCAAAACACACGCGGTAAATAAGATCTCGTGCAGGGTTTTCACCTGCGAGCTTCCCATGTCTTTTGACTGTTTTCCTGGCTGCGTTTGGGGTGGCATTAACAAGTAATGGAACTGCCAGAGAATGGCATGTTTTTGATGCGTGAACGTGCGCAGAAGTGTGAATGGGGACTTAAGGTGACAACGCTCACTCATATCTATGCAGGAGCAGCCTAGGTCAGACTGTGTTAGGACTACAGAACACCTCCCTCATAACACAGATGGTAGGTGTTCTGTAATTGACAGCTGTAAACTTGACATGCCAATAACACTGCAGAGTGCACAGGCCAGCACAGGATTTCTGGCAGGATCACTAGGTTTTGTTTGTTCTTATGACACAGACACAACGAAACACTTCCTATTGTAGACTTAATGACCAAAGGGAAGCAAATGGGATTAGTTCCCTGAGAATCCGGATGAGTGATGTGACAGGTGGATAGAATAGGAGAAAGTTTCCTTGCTCTCCAGAGATGTGCAGACAATGATCTGCAGTACACTCAGATGCATAGTAATAGACGTCCTCGTAGCCCTCATGGTAATCCTCCTCCGGTCGGTACTTTTTCCCTTTCCTCCTCCTGGATCTACGGATCTGCCGTACAAAGCCCAGGAACCTTTCCATGATACTGTCACCGTGCGTCTACGATGTGCGGGGTGGAAGGCACATGCCATCTAGCTCCCGGGGGAGCCCAGCCTCATGGTTACCTTGGCACTGTAGACACAGCACGGTGGCCTCAGAGGAGCGGAGGAAAGTTGTCTGCTTGTGGCGGTGTGTTGTATGTGTGCGTGTGTGTCTATGGAGTAGAGGGATCCCTGCATTGACATGTCCCCTCCTTCTCCTCCTCCCTGCTCTCCATCATTGGAAGAGGGGGCTGGAGGGAGACGCCTTGCCGTCAGGGCTGAACCATTGCGCTGCAGAGCAGGAGTACACAATCGGCTCGGGCTGCCTCCTCCTTGTGCTTGTTGGGGGGCAAAAACCCCCCTTCATGACTCCATATAAACACGGGAAGTGGTGCATCCCATGCAGGACAATAGTACTACTACGACAGTCATTGTAAAGGTAACAGATCGCATCCGCAATGTACACCTTACACTGCACCTATACCAGGATAGGAATACACAGCGATTCCTCCATACAAAAGGTGTGATTACAATTCTGCAACATCCGAATTTATAAGGTCACCTACTCCCACACAGACCGGGAGCAGTGAGTCATAGGAGCCCCACTGTACAGCATATAATTGGCCATCTCAAGGCTTGTCACTACTACAACAGGTGTCAGCTAAGACCAGAGACTGCCCATACACTAAAAGATCTCCTTTATTCAGCCTCTGGACCAGAATAAAAGACATTTTACAGATTGGAGGAATCCCCCCCTCACAGCCAAGCTATTGTATTCTGACATCCGGCACCCACCACTGTCAGAATACCCAAACAGTGAATATGCAAACAACATTATTCTCATTAATCAGCCCATTAATCATGGGCTGAACGAAAAAACAAACATTGGTTCCCTCATCCATGCAAAACAGAGAAGATGGAATAATCCCCTTCACCGGTCTTTTGTTAAATCTTGAAATGTAACTCCCAAGTTTAGTGTCACTTTAAGCCTGTTAACTGTTAGCAAAGCCACTGTTTGAGTATTCCTGACAGTGGCGGTTGCTGGCTGTCAGCATACAATAGACCGGTGAGGGAGATTATTCCATCTTTGCTGTTTAGCATGGAGGAGGGAAATTTCAATCAGCCCATGGGAATTAATGAGAAAATGTTACGTGTACGGCCAGCTTAAGTCTGTTACTCTAATTATTAACACAAATGTATCTTATTTGTGTATCACCCGGCTGTAAATCCTCAAATCATCTCTGAATTGTTGCTGTCACTGTCCTTCCTTCTGGAGGGTGGCTACTTTTGTTCCCCATGGTTCCTGTGTGTGTTGTAAAGTAATCAATACTCCAAGCTCACGCCTGTGATGGACTACAATCTCAATACAAATGAGTAAACTAAACATGAGATTGTAGTCCATCATGGGAGTGAGCTTGGAGCGGTGGCTACTTTACAACACACACAGGGACCATGGGGAACAAAAGTAGCCACCCTCCAGAAGGAAGGAGAGTGTCAGCACCAATTCAGAGATGATTTGAGGATGTACGGCTGAGTGATACACAAATAACTATTAACATACATGTATCTTAAGGTACCTGAATGTATTTTTATGGTTAACTCCTGAGTTTACTGTCACTTTAAACTGCTATACATGTAAGAAAAACACTTGATTCCTTCATCCATGCTAAACATTGTAGATGGAATAGACCCATACTCCCCCCACCGGGCTATAGTCTTCTGACAGTCGGTGCCACCACTGTCAGAATACCCAAAACAATGATTGCCGGTGATGGGCTGCCAGTCCTCTTCTGGGTTAAATTATACCAAGCAGCACTGAAGCCCACTTCTTATTTGCACAGGCTCTCATGGACACCTCCCTGCAGTTCATTTTCATGCCACCTTGAAATCACAGCAGAATGCTCCAGAGAGCAGCACATATGTCAATACAGGGAGGGGGCAGGATTCTTGAGTTAAGATTTAATACAGTAATAAAACTAAGGAAGAACACATATGTAATTATACAAGCACTGCAGTTATACAAACTAAGCACTCACTGAACCTATACCATATCTCCCTTTTAAACAGGTGGGGAAAGCAGATAAAATATGAAATCTAAAATTCAAAGGACATGATTTAGTTCTTTTATTGGGTAAAAGAGACCAACATAAGATAAAACGAATAAGCAAATACAATGCTGTATGTCAGCTAGAGATTGCAGTACAGCCTTGTTTCTTAACTGGTGGGTCGCGACCCCATGTTCAGTGGGTCCTCTCATGCCTTCCACTTTTTTAGGTTAGAGGCTCCTTAGCCTCCCTCTAGCACAGCACTGGTCAGTTCTCACACCAAGCAGCCATTCAAAATATGCTGCCCAGTGCCGAGTGTCAGCATGAGGTGGGGTGGGCTGAGATTATGGCCGTGAGGGACCTCCATCCATGCATGTATTGCTTACAGCTCCCTTGTGTGTCCTGTAGAGGTGCCTGGGACCTCTACAGGGTACGCAAGGGAGCTGTACAAGCAATGCACATATGGATGGAGCTACGTCACAGCACAGCAGCCTACACTGGACCTCAGACTGAGGATCCACTCATTTCTCGTAGGGCAGGGTTTTGGAGTGTATATGTGTGAGAATATCAGTCTGTAAGTGTGAGATTGTGTCAATCAGTGTTTTTGAGGGCCCGTTCACACTAGTGCAGTGCGTTAATTGTACAGTCCCATGCAATTAACGCACTGTACCACGCAATCGCACCTACCGCGCGTTCTGGGGTGGGAGGTGCATTGCCATTCATTTGAATACCGCAAATGCATCTCCCACCCACAGTTCTAATCACCCACATCGGAATGTGCGGTACCGCAATGCCATGCAGTGCAACTTGGGTCCCGACTCAATGACCAAGGACAAATGTGGGTCCTGAGGTTACACAGGTTGAGAACCACTGCAGTACAGCAAATACTAGCCAAGGGAATCAAGCCATTTTTTCCTGAAAGCATGCAGCATTTGACTCGTTCCTGGGTGTGATTCCACATACCCCAACCCCGATCTTATTGAGGTGGCTTTTAGAGAGTATCCTTGGGCTTTGCCCATACTACACTGGAGTTTTAACAAAACATTAAAAAAGAAAACAAATGCAGACACTAGATCTAAGGATTGGTAAACTGCATCATAATACAGTTATTTTTGGGGGTTTAGATCCACTTTAAGGGGTCTATTTATAAACAAGTTGCAGATCCACTAGACCTGCAAATCTCCATACCTGTTAATACTGTGCGAATAAATGCACAAACTAAATGCTATAACATTTTTCTTATAAGTAAAATGTATTTTTGAGTGCCATCTTGTAATACTGCATTATGGCCACTAGATGGAGCTGAGGAACATAGGAAATAAAGACTAGGAAATTAATAGTGGCTTTAATTCGGTATTACAAGACATTTGAAAATACATTTGACTTGTAAAGAAAATGTACAAGAATCAATTCGCACAGAACGAACATTAACAGAGATTCACTGGGCCAATTGCTCTGCAAATTGTTTATAAATAGACCCCCCAAGTGTGTCCTCATGCAACGGTCTTGTTTTTTTTCTGTGCCTTGTAATTGGCGATTGTGAAAAATATGTAATGCCTGTGGAAAAGGGGGGCACAAGTGGAAAAAGATTCAACTTAAAATATTAGCTTAGGGTGGACTTACTCATATTGGATTGGATATTTAATTTTTTTCATATAACTAGACTGCACACATACATCTTTCCTTCCAAATTGAAACATATTTAAAAATAAGTGTTCTTTCTACAACCATTTCAATAGAAATGTCAATGTTATAGAAGCAATTTAGAATTTTGCAGTAGAACATTTGAGATCCTTGGAGGAGCCTCCTATAAACTTATAAAAATTGTATAATTGAACATAAGTAATTCTGCTTTTATAATGAAATACATGAAGAGGTTTTTGGCTAAAAATTCATGTTGCATCAAAAACACTCGTTGATTCCATTATGAATGTATCTGCGGGTCAAAAAGGCAATTCCATTTTGTGATTCACAGCCAATGAAGCCAATTAAAGCATTTCTAAAATAAAGTATTCTCAAAGATTACTAGTGATTGCTAAATGGGCAAATCGACTCATCACAAACCGAATGACCTCTACATTAAAAACAATAAATAGCACAGGGTACAGGTTTCAAAGTCTATGAACATTGACTGCACAAAAGTGGAATTTTAAAGAAAAAGTCAATGAGTTGCCCATAGAAGGCAGTTAGATTCAATGGGGCTTGTTTATAAATCTTCCGGCCTGGTTGTAGCTGAGTGCATGCCATTTACACCCGATTATTGCCTCAACATGGAGCCGAGGAGCAAAGGAAACTCCTATGATCCATCTAGGGGCAGTAATGCTGCATGAACAGCATTGGTCCAACTATACACTGGCTGGAAGATTTATAAATCAGCTGCTATGTGTAATCATTTGAGTACAGTTTTAGCCTATCGATCAACACGTTTTGTTTGGCCTTCTGTGAACCAAAGATGCTAAAGCTGCAGAAAGACATATCCATCAAGTTCTGCCGCTCACAATCTAATTATCTGTAACAAGATCGGTTGTTGTAACCAGCAGAGCTGTTTTCTGTGCTCCGGTGCTAAGGCCTGTTCTTCTCAGTGGGCGTGTGTGTATATGTATACACTAGGGGTGCCTTCACATCCCAGTGTTTAGGGAGAACACTTGGATTGGCTATGTACTAGAATTGTAGCAAGTCCATGCAGATGTCTTATAGCTACACAAAGCCCTTAAACAGAATGGACCAATGCCAGCAATAGCCAAGTTGTTTAAAGGAGTTTGACGATTATTAAAACTTTAAATGAGAGAAAACCTAAGACAACTTGAGAATCTGAATGTACTCTCATTACTGTAATGTGGGTACAAGATGAGTCATATGGTGCACCTATCTGCCATTTATTCTGGAGTACTGTCATCTGCTCAACTCCCATCATTAAAGCAAGCAAGCTTTCACATTTCAAGCTGAAAATTATAGAAATATAATAGTGATGCCCTTTCCATTTAAATTACTGACATTTGCACCATTTCCCCAGAATCTATACACACATATAATATACAGCAATATTTTGCATGTGTGTTACACTGTGCTGCAAACTCATTTTAACCAGTAATCACTGATTTGATCAGCAAGTTTGCATATACAGGCATATGTAATTTATATAATTTCTATAGTAAAACAGTGGTGTAATAACCTATTCAATGAATATTTCCAACCCAGTGGGTCTCTTCTAATGATCTTGTCACTGGGAGTCACATTTGTCAGGCATCACTGATGAATATTGAGAATATGAACCTTAAGGGCTCTTACTTATGGGCTGTACACCATTATGCTTTATAATGCATTAGCACTTGTAACACCACTGCCAGAGTTCAGTGATGCAATAGATTTTGGAGGTTTCTATAACTGAACAGTATCCTTCTGATTGAACTGTGCAATGTTTTGGTAAACGGTATTGCCCTGAATGTGCTAAAATCCTTAATATCAAATGGTGCACCTTAGATTGAGTGTTGATGACCATGTGCACGAGCTCAGAGGATATAATTACTAACAAATTGCTAATTTTA